TTTTTTTTTTTTTAATGAACACAAGACACGTTTCCTGAACAGCTATTAACCAGGGCCCAATGATTCTAAGCCAACCAGGACCTGCAGAATAGTGCAAAGGACTCAACAGTTTCCAGCTGTGTTACTTTAGACAGGTGACTTACCCTTTTTGGACCTCAATTTTCTTATCTGTATGATGAGTGACAGTATCTGTCTTGCAGAATTGTTGTGAGAGCTATAATAATGTAGGCAGGAAAAGTCCCGGGCCCAGTTTGTGGCTCAGAATACATTCAGTAAAATGCTGCTGATTAAGGCTGAGCTCTTTGTCCTCAGAGAAGGTAATTTTACAGAGAAAAACCAGTAAGTGGGTGTCTGCCTACCCTTAAATAGATCAAATGTCAGGGTGACTTGGTGTGTATACACCGAGATGATCTGTCTATAGGGGTTATTTGTGTGGGTCCTTACAGAATGAGTAGGAGTTTGTTAGAGGAGGAGGCTATGACGTCTCTGAAGATCATTCCCTTTGGGGACCCCTGGGTTTCTTTTCACATGCTAGAATTTCCCCAAGAGGCAGACCCTGCTGAGGAGGGACCGTGGCTGCATGTCTATCCCTGGTGGTTCCCCTGTTACCTCGTGGAAACAAAGACAGGCTGGAAGTGGGCCCCTGGGTCTCTGCCCAGCTCTCTGTGACACTCAGGTCCTGCACAGATCCTTGTCAGTGGTGGCTTCAGGTGACCAGTTGAGCAGGGAGCAGGCTGCTTGCAAGGGAGGGCTGGAGTGGGAAGGAGATGGCGGGAACCTGAGAGGTGGAGGGTCCTTGCCTGAGCCTCAGAGCTGGCTGGGGGCAGGATCTGAACCTAGGCCCCCAGGGTTCTGGGTCCTGCAAGGCCACACCATCTTTCCACGTCACTTGATGAGGACAGATGAAAGTTTCTCATTTCCTGGACCTCCTTACTAGAGACAGGAAAGTGGGCTAGAGGTATTCCTGGAGATCGCCAGTCAATAACTTGTTTCTGTGACAATAAGACTAGTAAGTGATTGTTAGTGGTGTTAGAAAGTTCCCTGTGTGCCCAGGTGTGCTGTCTGCTGGCCTCTCCACACCCCCATTCTGCTCCACAGGTGTCAACCACAAGTAGAGAAGGTAATGCTTGCCCTAAGTTAGCCCAGGGTTAGGAGATCGGCCTGACTGCGTGGCTATCGGCAGGTAGCTTCTCTTCCACCTGTGAAATGGGAATAACTGTAGCCACCGCAGATGCTGCCAGGATCCAGGTGAATGAGATC